CTAGATATTACTTTTATTTTTCAAATCACTCAGTGCACAAAAGCAATGCACATCGCAAAAACCTAAAAATATATCAGAGTGGTCGAGTCGCACCGGCAACAAAGGGAATCGAGAGCACACCAAGCACCTAAGCAACAGGAAGGAAACATGAGCACAAACCTTTCCAAATCAAATTTTCGCGCCCGGGACACAAAACTAATAATATGCGAGCACCGAAAAACTCCACGCCAGCACAAAGACAGCCCGAACTAAAAAATTAAATTAAATAAAAGCCCGCAGCGGAGCAAAAACACAACCGTTCTCGGACGCTTCTCAAAGTGAACTCTCCACGTCAATAGTCGATTTCTTGCCAATAAAAACTCAATCTCGAAAACAAATTTTAAAGAAAATTATGGATAGAAAGTTAGGTAACTTCTCGCGAGAATCATTAAGAAAACGAGAATAAATGTTCAGTAAATTTCCAGATTTTTCTGGGGGGAATTTCTAAAGTATTCTGCAACAAATCCAAGACTGTTTCCATAAACATAGCGGAGAGTATAAGATTATTGAGGAGAGTGCTGAAAATAACTCTGAAGACATTTTGGAATGATCATAACGAAAATTCATGAAACATTTTCAACGATATCTTGTGATAAGTTCCGAAAAAATCATTTAGTTAAATCACACATAGCATATTTTCCAAGATCCCGTACACTGAAATTGAAGATCCAGGGTATGGACAAATTTTCAAATTCCATGATCCTGTCAAGTCTATAAATTTGTTTACAATATCTTTCTCTTGAAATCCGTGCACAAATTATATGCCACGCGATGGAAGAAAAAATAAGAGAATTCATTCTGCGTGCAAGATTTGAAAACCAGACATGGTACGAGGATCGCAAAGGAGTTGAAAATGGCCAAATCCACCATCTGTGCAGTGCTGGAACGTTTCAAGGAACGTTTGTCTGTTTCCCGGAAGGCACAGAGAACAGACGTTGAGGCTCGAACTAAATATCTTTTAAAACTAGTGTAAAGATTTCTATTCGACTTCAGCGCCACCAACGCTGACTTCCTCACTAAAAAAAACCCTCTTTGCCAACACTGGCGTTGCACAACTTACACTAGACACTAAGTGCCGGTAGCGCTGAGTGGTAATTTTCAACAGAAAATTTACCGATACTAGCGCCAAATTGATCGAAAGTGGAAAATTTATAGAGGAAATCAGGAGATACTTGCTACTCAGTTTTAAAAGATATTTTGTTCGAGCCTCAACGCACAGGAGTGGAACTTCGGATCAGAAAGTGACTCCACTTGTCATTTGCGAACACTAGCGCACCTAGCGGTAGAAGGCATCTTCTGCCTGCAGTTAAGATAGGCAGCATGCTATGATGGTGTGAGTGCACATAGATAACCCGTGTGGAACGCTACCACAACCAGAGCTGGTAAATATCACGGCCGTCATGTGACGATGAGAAAACAGGTCCTCACACTGTCACGGGACGAAACTACCTATCATTAGCTTTCTTGTCATTTTTCAACGATCAAGCACTCATGAGAATAATTCTTATATGGTTTTGACATCAACATTTCTAACTGATTTAGATGAATTAAAGCAAACAACCTTATGTAATCGGTAGAGTGAATACATTATTAAGATTTTGTCGATACAAGTAACTATATATAGCATTCAATGGGCTAGTTATTACGATGATCACAACACTGTCACGTTCTGTCATGACAAAAAATTCGATGAGATTTTGAATAAAATCCCTATCATCGTTTTCTCATCCAATGATAGTGACAGAAGTATCTCTGTAAATATCGCGTGAGATCTTTCATTGAAAATAACATTTGCCAGCCCTGACCACAACACATCGCTTGTTGAGCAGAAAAACAACCCTATTTTTGATTCACCGATTTGTGTGCACTTCCCCTTCTGTTCTGTGCTCAACGTCTATTCTCTGTGATTTAATTAAATTTGTTACTACCTGTGTTCATAATACTAAATTTGTTACTACCTCAATTTTTTTGACAGACCAAAATTTAAAGTGAATTTATTCCTAAAAATAGAAAAATATATATTTGCAGTTTGAACCTTGACTAAAAGAAGCGGTCGAAGAAACCACGCTGGTAGAACAATTCCAAAGGTCCAATTCTTCATCATCAAACTTTCTGTTAAATTAATAACTCGGCTACAAAAATGTTGCCTGTCACTTCTATCGTACTATGTAGATGATGATGGTAATCACCAAAAAAAACTATATTAGTGCCAACATTTAAAAAGGGGCATAATTTCTCTTGTAAACACTACTAATACAATGTAGCCTTAGCCGTCGATTTCTCGTGAATGAAAGCTCACTCTATTAGCCGGCGCCGGTGGTGTAGTGGTAAGCGTGACTGCTTTCTCACCCCAATGGGTCTGGGTTCAATCCCAGCCGAGGTCGGTGGGATTTTTCTAATTCATAAAAATCTCTGGTCACGTCTTCCTTCGGAAGGGAAGTAAAGCCGTTGGTCCCTGTCCATGTGTGTTGAATGGGTGCGATATCCTACGCAGGTGTGGAAGCTGCCTTCCTGCACATTCGATTGCATTCAATGGATGGCAATCGATGTCCGTCGGTGATTGGCACTAGATTGCGGAACAGAGACCGGCGTTAAATAAAGGAAATAAGAAGAAGAAGAAAGCTCACTCATTACACCGACAGATAGATGACTGTTTCCTCTACCAGCTGCTAGCATTGTTATTTTAAAGGGGTGAACTTTTATTTGCGAGATATCGATGGCTAAAGCCATTGTTTACAAAAGCAATTACGACCCTTTGAAAGGTTGGTACTGATATGTTGTATGATAAAATAGACTATAGAAAAGGTCATAGCACAACAACAGCATTGGCAAAGGGGACGCACGATATCTATGACCATTTCGACAACGAACAGTGCACAGTTATGGTCCTTGTTGACTTCTCGTTGGCATTCAACTGTGTTGATCATCGCAAATTTCAGAGGAAACTTTGTGAGGAATTTTCTTTCACCGACGGTGCATGTGACCTTATCTCTTCTTTCCTCGATCATCGCACACAGACGATACGAATAGGAAATGTGATTTCTTCTCAGAGATCAGTGGTGAATGGTACACCCCAGGGTTCTTGCTTGAACGCTTTACTGTTCAGCCTCTACATCAATAGCCTACCCCGTGGACTGAGATGTAGCTATCACTTCTACGCTGATGACCTACAAATCTACATTTCTGATGCCATCCAAAATGTAGACCAACTCGTCAAAATCATAAACAATCATCTGGAAAGTATAGAGCAATGGGCCAGACAGAACTCTCTTTTCCCTAACCCGAAGAAGACGAAAGCAATCATTTTTTTGCAAAGAAGGGGCGGTAGCACCAGCCACTAACAGTTTTCTGTGGAGAACACATTCTTTTGTCAGACAACGTAGTGAATCTTGGTCTAAAGATGGATCGTAATCTGAAGTGGAACGGACATGTGAACAATTAAGAGACTGAAGCCTCTTTAGTGAACGATATAACGGCCAAAGTTTTTGGAACGTTGCGGACGCTCCGAAGATTCGCTCCAGCAAGCAGTGGTCTTCTTCTTCTTCTGTTCACCCTTTAGTGGCAAGTCCACTGTTGAACAAGCAGTAGTCGTGTCGGTTTTTTAACTTCTGTAACGTCACTTACTATCCTGTACAAACATCAGCGCTCGGTGATCAGCTAAACCGACGCAGAGAATCCACTGCTGCTGTAAGGAACTCTATTTTGGTACATGACCTGAACACAAACTACCGGAATAGAATTAGCTGTTTTATTAGCCAGGGTGAAACTTTCCCTCCTTATCTGCAGCAACACCTGAGAAGAGGACAGCTTGAGCGGACGCGTTGCTTTGCGATTCCCCATCACACCAAATCGAAGAAGAAGAGTGTGATGATCGCAACCAGCTCCCTCAATCATCTGGAACCAGCTCCCTCTAGGAACACGACACCAGACAACGATCAGCGCATTCAAGGCAGCGCTCTCAACAAGATCTCAAACCTACAAACTACATACCTATTAAGCAAGCTACTTTCACTAGTGACTTTTTATTGTTCTCCTCAAGTTTAAAAATCAAATGCTAACGTTATGGTAATAAGGTACAATTACAATTACAAAATACGGTTCGAGCGAAAACAAGAATACCTAACTTATTCGATCATACTGGATGTAAACAAAAAATATACAATGTATCCAATTGATATCTCTTGGAGCAGATGTTCTTAATTCAGGATTTGTATACACTCATTTATGTTTTATCGTATTTGTGTTGCAACTCAATTTAGACAAATATGAAAAATATGAAAAAATGTAAATCACATAAACACAGAATAATTATTACTAAGTGCATAGAGTTAGTAATATTTTTTTTCTCTGGTGAAGAAAAAAAATTTATTACTAACTCTGTGCACTTAGGACCGTATAGGCAACAAAAAACTACTGAGCTTCACTGGCTACCTCTACTACGATCTTGCGAGTCCATGTTCCTAATTCTTGATCTTCGTCATGCAAGCTAAGCACCAGTCGAGAAGCCTCACGCGCATCCAAATATCCCCTAGCTACAACATGTAGTATGCAGTAGCATTTCCCCTATAGTTTGCCGGAGCAACAAAAAGAAACATTCAAGGTTAAACGATGATGACGGGGGAGAAAAATGTCCTGTGTAGATACGATACGCTCACAAACCGAGCTCGAAGCTTCCACTTTACTCCCCCACCTTCCAACGCCCGGGGAAACTGATGTGTACGAGAAAAGTACGCCCCACTTGTTCCCGCACGAATGGTGATTATTCCCAACGATAAACGTCTATAAATTATGTAAATTAGTTTTTAATTCAGCTTCCCTGGGCTAACTAAGCGTATATTACTGGTTTGTTGCCGTTGCGACGCCTTCCCGTGAGTTCCGTCCGACGAACGAGGAGGAGGAACGCGAACCAAGACGTAGAATAGCATTTGACTGGACGTGCCTTCCGGCTGCGAAAAACGTACCTCTATTCGAAAGTATCCAGCAGATTCACCTCCTCACCATTAGCACTAGTAATCCTTAAGATTTGAGTGCAATTTTGCACGAAACTATGGAGCCTTATTAACTCTACAAGTCAGACACTACAGAAAAACACACACACGAGCGATTTCTGCTGCAAAAAAATGCCTGCTTCTCTCGGACGGTGCCAAATTATTATGACATATCGGTCCCGAATGCAACACGAAGCTCGTTCACTTCGGATGTTTTCAGAAAAAAAAGTCGGCTGCCCAGTTTCTCAGTCAGCTGAAAGTAAACAAATCCGTCGTCGTTTGAAGTGGCGCCTCAGAATGCGGCGAGCCGGCTTGCTTTATTGAAGTACCAGATTTCTAGGAGGCTTTATACCAATGAGCTGGATTACCGAGGTGAAGCAATCGGTTAAGTTGTGTGAGTAAAACCAACAATCAATACGAAACTAACGATTTTAAATTGGCTCACTACTTGACTAGCCTATTGGTCCCAAGCAAACGATTAACGTACCCCATTCTAGTCGAAATTCTAGTACTACGCAATGTTTGTTTTGATTCGCTATGAAAGTTTGACAGATAGAATGAGGGGTTATTGGTTTTTCCTATGTTTCGAGGGGTGAATCGACTAGCTTGGGACCGAAGAGAGTACCAGATGTGAGCCAAAAAGTTGAGCACGTTATTTCGGGACCTTCTAGTCTTAGAGTTACCTCTATGGTAAAACCATAGAGGTAACTCTAAGACTAGAAGCTCCCGAAATAACGTGCTCAACTTTTTGGCTCAGCTCTGGTACTCTCTTCGGTCCCAAGCTAATGATTCACCCCTCGAAAAACCAATAACCCCTCATTTTATCTGTCAAACTTTCATAGCGAATCAAAACAAACATTGCGTAGTACTAGAATTTCGACTAGAATAGGGTACGTTAATCGTTTGCTTGGGACCAATAGGCTACTAAAGTGGTGAGTCAATTTAAAATCGTTAGTTTCGTATTGATTGTTGGTAAAACCCCTGTACGATACAAGCAATTAGTGACGTCACTACTTGCGTTTACGTTGATTTTTGGTTTACTAATACAACCATATTTCACGATCTGCTTCACCTCTCTCTGTACCTCATTGGCTTTATACCAACAATCAATAGGAAACTAACGATTTTAAATTGGCTCACTACTTGACTAGCCTATTGTAAACGAGATTGTAAAGCCCTACAGTAAAAGCAACAATCAATACGAAACTAACGATTTTAAATTGGCTCACCACTTTAGTAGCCTATTGGTCCCAAGCAAACGATTAACGTACCCTATTCTAGTTGAAATTCTATTACTACACTATGTTTGTTTTGATTCGCTATGAAAGTTTGACAGATAACATCAGGGGTGTGTGGATTCATGCAGAACATGCAGGGGTGAGTGAAATAGCTTGGGACTGATTGGGACCGTTGTTCTGGTACTGAGTGAGCCAAAAATAATAATCATTTTCTTTGGGACCCAGTGGTCTTAGAGTTACCTCTATGGTAAAAGTATGGACGTCTGTCAAAAGTTGTTCCAATCGAACCGTCAAAATGCACCGCCTTGCTCGATTGGAACAGCTTTTTTTTCAGTTTTGTTGTGACAGTCGTCCATACTTTTACCACAAACGAAGTGACAGACGACTTACTGGCGAAGAAATCCATTAAAATAATGTGGTTCACTGTAATAGAATTTTCTTGGAAGCTTGTGCCATCATCCACCAGATGGGTTAGTTTTTTTGTTTTGATTTGAACAAAGTTGATTTTGTGTACAATGATTCTTTGACAGTGTGCAAAGAGTGCGTATCATTTTGTCATTTTTTTATGCATTTCAGTTTTGAGTAGAGTGAAAGAGATAGAACCAAAACATTCTAGTACATTTGGTGAAAATGCTAGTTCAATCCAGTAGTAGTGTTGCCATGTGGTACAATCCAGTAGTAGTGGTGTTGCCATGTGGTACACTGAAAAATTGAAATAGCAGGTTAGTCACCAAAGTTTTCGAGCCACTCCGTCTGTCACTTCGTTTGTGCTTTTACTGTAGGGCTTTAGCCTATTGGTCCCAAGCAAATGATTAACGTACCCCATTCTAGTTGAAATTCTAGTACTATGCAATGTTTGTTTTGATTCGCTATGAAAGTTTGACAGATAAAATGAGGGGTTCATGGATTTTCTTATGTTTCGAGGGGTGCATCGATTAGCTTGGGACCGAAGATAGTACCAGAGCTGAGCCAAAAAGTTGAGCACGTTATTTCGGGACCTTCTAGTCTTAGAGTTACCTCTATGGTACCAGAGCTGAGCCAAAAAGTTGAGAACGTTATTTCGGGACCTTCTAGTCTTAGAGTTACCTCTATGGTACTACCGTTGTACTTCTTTTGGCTAGTACCTCAAATTGTACATTGTGAGGTACTAGATTAAAGGAGTACAACCACAGACAAACAGACATAACACATTGAATATTTCTCATTGTAAAACATCGTCACTAAAACATTACCGCCATCTGTTGAGTACACTGTGGTGGGTAGTACGCTGGACAGATGGCGGTAGTGTGTAAACGTCAAACTCAAGGGAAATGACTATGGGCGCCACAGGTGGTGGTACTACCAACTACGATACTTTTAGATTGACGGTTAAATGCTTGTTCGATGAACAACTTGCGAGTGTTATGTCTGTTTGTCTGTGGTACAACCAACAATCAATACGAAACTAACGATTTTAAATTGGCTCACCACTTTAGTAGCCTATTGGTCCCAAGCAAACGATTAACGTACCCTATTCTAGTCGAAATTCTATTACTACACTATGTTTGTTTTGATTCGCTATGAAAGTTTGACAGATAACATCAGGGGTGTGTGGATTCATGCAGAACATGCAGGGGTGAGTGAAATAGCTTGGGACTGCTTGGGACCGTTGTTCTGGTACTGAGTGAGCCAAAAATAATAATGATTTTCTTCGGGACCCAGTGGTCTTAGAGTTACCTCTATGGTACAACCAACAATCAATACGAAACTAACGATTTTAAATTGACTCACCACTTTAGTAGCCTATTGGTCCCAAGCAAACGATTAACCACAGACAAACAGACATAACACTCGCAAGTTGTTCATCGAACAAGCATTTAACGGACAATTTAAAAGTATCGTAGTTGGTAGTACCGCTACCTGTGGCACGCATAGTCAATTCCCTTGCGTTTGACGTTTACACACTACCGCCATCTGTTCAGCGTACTACCTACCACAGTATGCTCAACAGATGGCGGTAATGTTTTAGCGACGATGTTTTACAGTGAGAAATATTCAATGTGTTATGTCTGTTTGTCTGTGGATTAACGTACCCTATTCTAGTTGAAATTCTATTACTACACTATGTTTGTTTTGATTCGCTATGAAAGTTTGACAGATAACATCAGGGGTGTGTGGATTCATGCAGAACATGCAGGGGTGAGTGAAATAGCTTGAGACTGCTTGGGACCGTTGTTCTGGTACTGAGTGAGCCAAAAATAATAATGATTTTTTTCGGGACCCAGTGGTCTTAGAGTTACCTCTATGGTACAACCAACAATCAATACGAAACTAACGATTTTAAATTGGCTCACTACTTGACTAGCCTATTGGTCCCAAGCAAACGATTAACGTACCCCATTCTAGTCGAAATTCTAGTACTACGCAATGTTTGTTTTGATTCGCTATGAAAGTTTGACAGATAAAATGAGGGGTTTTTGGTTTTTCCTATGTTTCGAGGGGTGAATCGATTAGCTTGGGACCGAAGAGAGTACCAGAGCTGAGCCAAAAAGTTGAGAACGTTGTTTCGGGACCTTCTAGTCTTAGAGTTACCTCTATGGTTGTACCATAGAGGTAACTCTAAGACAAGAAGGTCCCGAAATAACGTGCTCAACTTTTTGGCTCAGCTCTGGTACTCTCTTCGGTCCCAAGCTGGGGGTAAGACAGCTTTCGATCATGAGTAAAATCGGAGTTAATTTTGAGTAACTCTGAGTAACTCACGTTGCTCAATACCTTATTCACATAGCAACCTGATTGTTATATTAAAACAATGTTGATACCGATGCTGTCAAGCAAAGTAAGCTGACGTGCTTTCCAGTTTTCAGAACCTCAATGAAAGTATTAATTAAAAAAGGATAGTTATAAACTATAAACTATAATCTATAATCTTTCAGAGATATAACTTTTGACTGTATGGGTGTTTTATGCAAGCCAGTTGGTAGAAGCAGAATGTGTGTAACAGCTGATATGGAAAAAGGACTATATCCTGGGTGGTAGAATCTAAAATCCATAAAGTGGGATGAGGAGAAGAGGAACAGTGCCCTAAAAAACCTAGATTAGTTAACATTGCCTCATACTGTATGAAAATAATGTTCTGCCCGACAACGACTCAGCAGCATGAAACTCTGTGAACTGTGTCTCAGAGTCGGTGCACTACCGGGAAAACAGGAGGGCCTTCGCGTACTCAAGCTTTCAAATTAAATAAAACCCGGAGCGAATCAACTTAACCACTATATTGTCTAAACATTCCTCAATACACTTAGGAGTGAGTACTGTGGTGTGTTGGATACTCTGGCACGTACTTTTACGACAACTACGACAAATGCAGTCCAGAGAGCGCTCACTGAAATTTCAGAACGATTCTGGCGATAGTAGACGATGAAAGGCTGACTGGTCTACCAGCGAATGGCGGTCTGACTAGCGCGTCTACCGTTCGTTGGCTGTCGTCCGATGGTGGTTTGGTTTAGTGATGTGGTGTTTTGGTAATGGGCTAGTATGACGGATTGTGGAGCTGGTCCCGATGCACAGCTCCGATTTTACTCCTTCAGATGAAGCCAGTCGACGACGGCAAGGTCGCACTCTGTCAAACCGGGAAGGGAATCTCTTCTTAGCTATTAGGGCCGTGTGCTCGAGAGGTACCGAGAGGTGTCCAGGCTTGTTGAAATTTCTCAAACTCAATTTTCAAAGCACCGGATGACTTTTTTGTTCAAGAGAAGAAGCTTCAGAGTTCACCCAGGATTTCAAACAACAGCGTGTGATGGAAAACATGAAAATGAGTGGCAGCAAACCTCACTCCCGTTTTATCCCCCTTCCCGCACAAGTTGTGAGGCTCGATGCTATGATTTGAGAGTAGGAATTCTACTCCTCAGAAAAATGCTACGCTCGGCTCATTTTAGAGTCGTGAGTGAGGCCCCATCAAGGCCTCCTTCAATGGTCCTAGGCAATTAGATATCCGTACTCGCCAACCAGTAAGTGGTTTGAAAAATGTACGGAAAAGGTACTGAATCGGTGAAATCGGTGTTCAACAGGTCACTACGATTCACTACTTGCACTAGATTCCTTAGGTATTAATTTAACTCCACTAGCTAATCACTTCTGGCGAGCGAGTACTGTTTAAAAGTGAACGATGGCCGTTTGATGAGCATCGCAGGACTCTTCACCCCATCACCCTGTGACTCCGTGTCACCATTTTGTTGTGGTCATGGACGCCTTATTCAACAATCGGCCGTTAAGCATGGCCGTGTCGTCTTCCCAGTGGGTTTCATCGCTATAGTTTAAATTTACCTGAAGGATCGATCACCTGCTGCAATAAAGAAAACATCGAAATGAAGGTTTGTAACAGAACGGTTACATGTATCAGGCGTTCGTGTGTTATACACCAGGTACCTCCATTTTGGATCAGATCAAGCTTCACTTCGCCGAACAGTCAAGGACTAATACTAACCTCTGGTCCGACTGACCACGAAGGAGGTTTGAAACTAGGAGAGGTTACCCCTAACCGAAAAGGAGCATTCCCCCTTTGGCACGGTCACTCCGAAATCGTCCTAGACCGTGTCAATCCTCGCCAACGAGGGAAGACGCCTGGAAGGCTTCCAAGCTACACACGAATGACAAGCCCCGTCAAACCGGCGTGCAGTCAAACCACCATTCCCCATCGGTTCGGAAAACACCAGTCACCGTTCGTCGACAGCAGTAGCAGCGAGTAATTGAAGTACGTCGCCAGATCGTCAGCATCAGCAACAAGGTAGCAGTGGTACGTACCGAAGAAAATCCCAACAAAAACAAACAGTAGTTTCCCCGCCAATCCATATCTTATCTTTCAGTACATACTTTGCAATGATCTGTAGTCAGGTGACCGTACACTGCACATCTTGTTCACGAAGTCCTTTGGACTACCAAGTAATAAGTAATCTCTAAGACCCAGCTCGAGGAGTTTCTTGCTACTGAACTTGCCGGTACGAACGAATAGTTAAACGTTATAACTTTAGAACCTAGTTGTACTTTTCACGATATACTTATGTTGGATTTCCTCATGTCTGAAATTAGTTCAAAAAGATGATACGGATCTTTTACAGGCTGGGCAAGATAAGCTTTTTATGTTCACAGGGCAGAAACTTCTCAAATCTCTGGTGGAGTACCAACATGTATAGTCCTGAAATAACACCACCACATCATCAAAAATCTTCAACGACAACACTTTAACCAATCAATCGCTGGTCTGCCTTGAATCTTTTAATGCTTGAAAACTGTGTTTATATTGAAAACCTAATATGCTGTCAGACGATATTTTCTATGATCAGAAAATCGAGACTACTTTGATCATTTTTGAGTAAATGTGAGTAACTCAAATTTACTCGCTGCAAATATATTTACTCTGAGTACAGCTGTCTTGCCCCTAGGTCCCAAGCTAATTGATTCACCCCTCGAAACATAGGAAAAACCAATAACCCCTCATTTTATCTGTCAAGCTTTCATAGCGAATCAAAACAAACATTGCGTAGTACTAGAATTTCAACTAGAATAGGGTACGTTAATCGTTTGCTTGGGACCAATAAGCTACTAAAGTGGTGAGCCAATTTAAAATCGTTAGTTTCGTATTGATTGTTGGTTGTACCAACAATCAATACGAAACTAACGATTTTAAATTGGCTCACTACACAGCAAAAAAAAATGTAATAACGATCAATGTAATTCAAGCTGATGTATGAAATAATGATGTAATAGCAAAAAGCAGATACAATATTACATCAATGGATGTAATTTTGTTCGCAAAATCGATGTACATCGTACAACGTTATATTACACAACCGATGGATTGACCTGGTTGCAGCAGTTTGGATGTAATATTCAACAACTTTTTTTTCTGTGTACTTGACTAGCCTATTGGTCCCAAGCAAATCGATTAACGTACCCCATTCTAGTCAAAATTCTAGTACTACACAATGTTTGTTTTGATTCGCTATGAAAGTTTGACAGATAAAATGAGGGGTTAGTGGATTTTCCTATATTTCGAGGGGTGAATCGATTAACTTGGGACCGAAGATAGTACCAGAGCTGAGCCAAAAAGTTGAGCACGTTTCTTCGGGACCTACTAGTCTTAGAGTTACCTCTATGGTTGTACCCCGTTCACATTACAGCGTATATCACGTGATATACGGTGTCTTGCAATGAGCACTCATACATCTAGTTTTCACTGGAAATCCTATGTATGTGTGCTCATTGCAAGACAGCCTATATTACGTGATATAGGCTGTAATGTGAACAGGGTATTAATCGATTTGCTTGGGACCAATATAGGCTTGTCAAGAGATGAGCCAATTTAAAATCGGAAGTTTCGCGTAAATTCATCAATGAGCTGCATGCGTGCACTGAGAAAAAGACAATGATTGTTTCTATGTGTTCCACACATAGATTTTTGCAATTAGATTTATGATATAGTTTCTATATGCCAGACACATAAATCTCACTTGCACATATCAGCTCTATATGTGATCACACATACTGTTTATATGACACATAATCTGTATGTGTTTTGTTCCATGCTATCTAAATATGTGTGGCCAAATGAATATTATGCTTAATATTTTATAGAAATTTTCTATTAATTATGTGTGGATTTTTACTATAGTGTGAAAAAAGTAAACGTAAGGGAAAAAGATATGATCCATAACACGAGCCACAACATTCAATTTCGGCGGATCGTATCTGTTTACAGTTCCAAGTGACGTGAAATATTTGTGAGTAGTGTTTTTCACGCAGATGAAAAATGTAGCATTTTGTATGAGATTTTCACTTCGCTTCGATCTCTATACAGGCCTTTACCGGGAGTATTAAATATATTTACTGATTTTAAATCAAAACCCCTTTTGTTTCAGTGTCTAATTCTAGTACAGCGAACAAAGGCTTCGCTTTTGAGCTCATTGCCCGCGGCGCTTCTCTGTCAAAAAGTGTTGGCAGCTGAAGTGACAGCATGCTCGCAGTTCGACGCTGGCAGTTTTGCAGAACAACCTCGGCCATCGACAGTAGCAGCAGCAAAACGCATGCTGAGGGTGAAAAATTTCCTATACAAAAGTGGTAACAGGAGGAAGGTGATTTTCAAGTGTAGGAAAAACATCAGTTTAGCAGTGCGTAATTAGTGCTTAGTGGATTAACCGTGACTAGTGTTTGTGCACATAAGATCTGAAATCGATCATTTTTGGTAATCACTTCGGTGTACGGTAAACTCGTGTTTTGGCCCGCACGAGTTCGTTTCACGGTGAGCAAAAGGAGTATCGAGAAGAAGAGTGTTGAATAAGTGTAAAGAAGAAGAAGCAGATAGGCAGCAGCAGCAGTGTCGAGTCGAGTTGAACGAAGAGCTGCTCGCTGCTCTGTTCTGTGTGCGAAGAGCTAGGTGTGAGGAAGGAAAAGAAAATTCACCTTTTTCGAAGAGGAAAATTCAACCTGCAATCAAACGGAATTTGTGGATAAAAATTAACAATGTCAACGCTGCACTTTGTGGTGCATCCGCTGCCCGGAACGGAGGATCAATTAAATGACAGGTAATGTTGGGAAAAGTGGCTTGTAAAATGTTGGCAAATCAAGAAAATTGAAAAGTAAGATGGCAGCCAGACGTTCGACGGCTCACGGCAGCCAGCAGCAGCAGAACAGTGGAAACAACAACAACAATAGCAGGAGCGCTAGCGCTCCGCTCGTAACCAATCAAAAATGGCCGATTTTTCTTTTTTGTCGTTCCTTTTTTATGGGTCTATCGACATGGGGTATCGCCTTTTTCTGCTCGCCCTGGACGGTATGTGCGAATATGTCAGGCGAAAGGTGGAAAATTGCTCCACCTGAATGTGAAAGGATTTTTCGGTAGAAGAGCGCAGCGGACGGGAAAACATTCGACGTGGTGGTGAGCTAATCAGCATCCGTAGGGAAGGTTAGGATGTATGAATAATAATTAGTTGTTGTTCTTAAGTGGTTAATAGAAAGTGTATTGTATTTTAACGAAATGTTGCTTTTAAGGCAACTACATTTCCGAAGGTTATGAAATTGAAGATGACTAATGCTACTAATGTATTCTAACGCGTTATCGTTTCAAATAAATCACCGGTACGCACCAGGTTTCAACAATTTAAACTATTCTGTGGGGCTTTAAATAAGCTATGGGCCAACTGTTTGCTATACGTTTTGTGCGTTCGTATGGTCATTAAAAGGTCATTATTTCGATGGTATGGTTCAGGTACATTGGTCCTTGTTTATGGAAAAATACTGATGCGTCAGCCATTCGAACTATTGTTCTGGTGGTTTGTCGTATGCTGTCTTTCCATGCTTCTATAAGGTAAATCATGAAAATATTGCACATTTCCCACCAAACTGTACATATAAGCTTGTTTACAAAAAAGTGTAGCCCTTGGTGTCTTAAAATTCTCGGTGCACTTATTCCAAATGAAGCAAGACACCAACATCGAACATGATTTGACGGAAATTAACGTGTATTTTTGTTACATTGTTGTTGTATGTTTTTGGGTTTCACGTGCAATCAACAATAATATTGTGGTAATGCTGTCAATGATTCGCGTTTGTTGAAGTCACTGCACCGGTGAGCTACGCTGGATAATATTATAATGTCGTTTTAATTTTTCCAGTGCGCTAGCTACACCGGTGCAGTGGCGTCAACCTAATGTCATTGCTGCGCTGTTGTGTCTGTAGTACACCAAACGTGCAAGCGCCAACAAGCACGAGTCATTCTAGACTAAATTTTGAAAAGGGCTGAATTCCAAAATCACAATTTGATTTTGATGACATAACAATAATTATTAATCCGATTTCTAGACTAACATTTGAAAAGGGCGTAATTCCAAAATCACTATGTATTATCGAAAAATCGCTTCCACGTATAAACAACAAACAAAAAGAAGACCAAAAAAATCTCCGGTCGTAATTCTACTCTAACAAAATTTGCGAACGAAGAACCAAGGCGGAACAACAAACAAAAAATCCCGAGGGTGTATTTCCACGGCGTATCATCAGTGTTGGCAGTTCAAATGATGGAAGATCCGGGGGGTAACAACATGTAAGAAATTATCAGGGCGTATGAGTTTTTCTTCTCAATTTCACGACAAAAAAAAAACTTTTTTTTTTGCAGTTTTAGCATTGTGCATTACTTAGATTACACTATTTCTAGACTAACATTTGAAAGGGGCGGAAGAGCCAAAATGTAAACAAACCATATTTTGCCACATATAGAGAGAATAGTTCACAAACTACTCGATAAATACGAAAAAGTAGAAGAAAATATCATTCAAATTATCAAAAACGTTTCTTCTTACATGGCGTATTTCCAACTTTCAAATCTATGATAAATCTGGTTGTTACGCCTTGCACCAGAACTACGAATTATATGGTTTTAATATGCCAAATGTTTTGATTCTGTAGTATCTAGTCACGCCCGATTCATTTGAAATGCATCCGATTGATAGTTCACGTTTAAACAACGAACAAAAAGCAGACCAAAAAATCTCCGGGCGTAATTCCACTCTCACAAAATTTGCGAACGAAGAACCAAGGCGGAACAACAAACAAAAAATCCCGAGGGTGTACTTCCACGGCGTATCACCAGTGTTGGCAGTTCAAAGGGTGGAAGATCTGGGGGGTAACAACATGTATGAAATTATCAGGGCGTATGATGTTTGCTTCTCAATTTCACGACAAAGAAAACTTTTTTTGAGTTTTTAGTGATGCACGATGATAGATTACACTATTAACTATATGTCAAGCTTATAAAATCAACCAGAAAATGGAAAGTCGTGAAATAGGATTAATTTTTAGGTCAACAAAATTCAGAAGCGATTTTATCGATTTGGTCATTTTGGAATTACGCCCTTTTCAAATGTTAGTCTAGATTTACTATATGTCAAGCTAATAAAATCATCCAGAAAATGGAAATTCGTGAAATAGGATTAATATTCGGGTCATCAACATTCGGAAGCGATTTACGAATTACGCCCGGAGATGATGATGATGATTTGAAGTAGTTTGTGAAGTGTTCTCCCTATATGTGGCAAAATATGGTTTGTTTACATTTTGGAGCTACGCCATTTTAAAATGTTAGCCTAGATTTGATGTTTTCTGCTCGATAGGCCCAAAACGGGCGTTTAGGCCGAAGTAGTGCTCTACCCTACGGCTGATTTCGAGTTGCCGAAAATAGAACAATTGTTTAACGATTGTGCTACATTTCCCCGAATGTCGTTTCCCCGAACGCCATTTCCCCGAATGCCATATCCCCGACAAAAAAAGTTAAGGAATTTCCAACCGTTATTGCTGGCAATTTTCTTACTATATTTTGAGCATAGTGAGCAGATTGCAAACCAGATTAAATTTCAAGCCATGCAAATGGAAGGTTTATGAGATTAACCCAACTAACAATTAATTTGCTTCGAGTAGCTAGAAACGCATTGCCAAAGCACATGATGCTCACTATGCCCCTCTTTCCCCTATATTAATGTATTGAGCCGTTAAAAGCATTTTCATTTTTATATATAGAATTATAATCCAAAACCAAAGAGCACAAAAAAAAATTGGCAAAATATCGTCGGTTTGACAAATTGGTTATAAATTTTAAGGAGATTTTGCCTTCTTTTATTTACGAGCAATTCTTTCGAGAACTTTGGAAAAACATGAAAGATCGATGGTTTGACAAAATGGTAAAATATTTTTATTCCTACTTTTTTACATAAACAGTTCTTTCGGGAGCAAAACTTGTTTCGGAAATTATTGCAATCAAATTTCAACAGGTGACAGTAATAAACAGAAGTTATGGCGATTTGTTTTGTACGCAGAAAATCGGAAAATGTTTTTTTATTAAATTAAAGCTTTTTTCTTGGCCCTTTCAAAAAAAAAATATTGGTACAGAATGTGGCTTATATTATGGCGCAACACCCCTACCAAATATTTTGTCTCGTTTCGCCTCCACAAACGAAAATTTAATAAAAATGTTGAAATCTGCACACATTATTTTTCGGTTTAACTTTTCGTCCATAGTTGTCAATAGTTGTGAGTGTAAAACTCACAGCATTCCTCGATTCATTTGTCAAATCATATATCTCACAAGTTTTGCCAAATTCCACGATTTGAATTTTTAAAAGAAAAAATCTCCTTAAACTATGCTATCCATTTTTAAATCCATCGACCTCACATATTCTTTAAGTTCTCGGAAGACTGTTCGTTTATAAAAGAGGGCAAAAATTTCCTCAAAAACATTACAAATTTGTCAAACCGTCAATCTCACAAGTTTTAAGAAAGTTTTCGAAAAAAAACATTTATAAAAGAAGGATAAAATACGTCTACGGCTGAAAATCTCCTAAATAAATTTAAAAAGAAGGGAAAATCTCCTAAAAATGTATTACTAATTTTTACACTTCCACTTCTGGTACTGCCGCCGCATCACTAAAACTCTCGCCCCATTGATTTACTTTGAACAGAGATCTTCCCTTCTTTTAATCATGAGCTGTTCTTAAGGTTAATTGGGTTCTTTAAGGGTATTGAGGTTAATGCATATTCGTAATCTGCATTGAAAATGGAACCCAAACCCAAAATTTCATCAATTTTGGTACACTGGAAATATTTTAAATAAATACGATTACATTTGCAAAAATCACCTTATTAGCGCCCCTCGGTGTCACTTTGTATGGGAGCGAGCTGTCAGTTTGTCAGTTTAGTGTCAAACAGTGAAGTTATTATTTTGCTTTAAATCTTGATTTAAAAATCGAGATGAAAGTGTGTGGGTTTGAAAAAAATATCGCTGTGCTCAGAAAACGAAGCTCTTTCCGATGATATATAAAAACCGATATATTTTTCAAAATTAGAGAACCCAATTGTTGCAATATTCAAAGATGTCTTCTTAATGCTCGCGAAACCAACCTTTGAAATGTAATACAGTCAAAGTATTTCATTCGAGGAAATTACATTCGGGAAATGGTATTCGGGGAAATTGGGTATATGTTTGTCTGGGATTCGGGAAGTGACATTCGGGGAAATGTAGCACAATCATGTTTAACACTTACTTCAAATACTGAAAGGTTGCCGAAGAAAAAGAGGTTACCGACAATAGCCACACTCACCTGAGAAGTTTGGAGCGTTTTAAAAACGCTTTCGACCTATTTGGGACAATTCTGCCGATTGGAGTGGATAGAATACACTCAAAATAATCCACACGTCAATGCTACGTGAAAAATCACGTAGATTCCAAAAAGAAAAAATGCTTTTTTATTCAAGTTTATCTGACAAAGGTAACTATCATCGGACTTTGGTTGTATATGAAATGAAGCGCCAGTTACTTTTACTGCAGTCGCCCCATCTGTCTTACGTGAAAATCACATCCTTTTTTAAATTCATTTTGACAGCTGCATTCCGCGTTCATTCTGTGTATGAAGAATAAGCAAAATGGCGCATGTTGAAAACAAACTGCAGGGCTGTTACAACAGGCGCGGATTTCGCGGATTTGTCGCGGATTTGAATTTTCAGTCGCGAAAATCGCGGAAACATTAAATGATGTCGC